AAGGATGGCGGATGTCCAGCCCTGTCAGATTCGCGAATGGAAGTAGAACAAGGTGAAACTGGCGGCGGCTGCTGGCTGCAGGCGTCGTCTCGTCGGCTCAGGGCGCAAGGCGAAGTTTCCCGACATGGAGCGCGAGCTGTACAAGCGCTTCCTCTCCCATCGCGCGCGTGGCTTGGCAGTCTCCATCAACTGCCTGCAGAAGTGGAGTCGGAAGTACATGAAGAAGCGGCACCCTGGAGTCGATTGGCGAGCATCGTCGCGATGGACCTTCCGTTTCCGCACGCGCTGGGGTTTGACGAGGCGTGTGAAGACCAAGATGGGACAACGCCTGACATCCGGTAAGTTTCATTTGCTCCGAGTCTTTCCACGCCGTTTTCCTTGCATAATTGACTCTCACTCTTGCGGGTTCTTCCCTGTCTACTTGTTTTTTGTTCTTGATTTTTTTGTGTTTGCAGACTGCGAGGCAAAAGTGGAGAAGTTTTGGGAGTTTGTGCGTCAGATGCGGAAATTGAACTGCTACCCCGACGACTTGATAATCAACGCCGACCAAACACCTCTGTTTCTGGAGATGCCGCAGGAGACAACGCTAGAGGTCCGGGGCTCAAGGACGGTGCACGTACGCACCGCCGGCTACGAGAAGGAACGGCTGACCGTCATGCTGGCGGTCACTGCTGCTGGACAGAAGCTGAAGCCGTATGTCATATTCAAGCGGAAGACCGTGCCCAATATCCGAGTCCCCCCTGGTGAGTTAGAATGTTGTTGTTTGATTGACTCTGTTTATCGTAATCCCCGTCCCATCCGTGTTGTTTTCCTCTTTTTCTTGACCCCGCCTGATATGCTTGTGTCTTTTTGTGTCCAGGCATCGTCATCCGTGCGCAGCCGAAAGGATGGATGGACGAGGAGCACGTGAAGGACTGGATCACAGCAGTGCTCGTCCCGTTCCTTAAGCGAATCCCTGCGAGGCGTGGCGGTCGGGCGAAAGCCCTCGTCGTCCTCGACAGCTACAAAGGGCACCTGACCGAGGGCGTGTCAGCCGCGATGCGCCTCTTCAAGCTCTCCAGGGCCGTGATTCCTGGCGGCTGCACGCCGATCGTCCAGCCACTCGACGTCGCTATCAACCGCTGTGTGAAGGCGCATGTGAGGCGGTCCTACACAAGTTGGTTTGAAGAGGTTGGCTGCGATTCAACAACACCCGCAGGTGAGGTCGATGCCGCTCTGTGCCTGCGTTCCGCGCTGCTTTCATTACGTGTGCTCCGTCGTATTCATGGCCATTCAGACGCTTGCTCTTTTTATCGATTATGTTTTTCCGACTCTTAAAGACTGCCTTCTCTACCGCCTTATCTCTCTGCGCCCCCGCCAGGAAACCTCAAGAAGCCCCCCGCGGAGGTGGTGCTACAGTGGGTCGCAACCGCATGGGAGGCCGTCCCTGCCGAGCTCATCCGAAACGCCTTCAAAACCTGCGGCATCTCCACCGACATTAATGGGACGGAGGATGAACTCATCCTCGCCCATATGAAGGACAAGTCAGATGTGGAAGTGATGGATGATGTGCACGCGGAAATGGAGGAGAGCGGCGAGAAAAACCCACTCTACGAAGCAGACTTCGTCGAGCCCGCCGCAGACGAGCTGTCCGAAGATGACGACGACGACAGCGACGTGCCCCAAGCTGCATCGACGGCATCCGGCTCAGCCGAGGTAGCAGAGTCCTCCGCTATGGCGGAGGCGCGTCTGACGGCAGCAGCAGCAGCTATTGCAGCAACAGCGACGGCCGCGACAGCAGCAGCAACAGCAGCAACGTCGGCAGCAGAAACATCTGCGACCAGTGATGACTCCTATGAGATGGCGCCAGCGGCAGAGGTGCTTGCTGGGCTCGCGGCCTCCAACTGGACAGACGACTATGACTGGGATGACATAGCGTCCGACGATGACGACGTGGAGGCGTGGCACGCTGGCGACGAGGACGACGAAGATGATGAGGAGTAGGTATTAGACTGATTTCTGACTGGGCTTGAGCCCCTCTAGATCTTGCACTAGTGTTTAGATGTAGCTTCAGTAGCTAACTCTTGACTAGAATTTGAGGCCTGTAAATGCAGCCGTTATAGAATCTTCCATGATGTACTTCAATTCTTAATATTGTATCGATTACACTAGCAACAAGGTGGGGGGTGTTATGTAAAATTCAAGGTCAAAAAAGCGGGTGCTCTCCTAGATGCACCCTATCATAAGCTCTGCCCCGCATAAACCACCCACGGAGTGACTATTCCGGCGGGTGTTATATACGGGGGATTACGGTACGAGACTTGAAGCCTCATCAAAGTTGGACCTTCCACGATTTCCAAAATTGTCGCAACCCTCGCCCACTCTCTTTCAAAAATTTGCCCCTCGCCCCCAAATCAGACCCTCCCTTCAAGGGTAATACCTTTGGTCGGTAGGAAATATGAGACACGGGCTTTAAGGTAGCGCAAAGGGTTAACCCTTTCGGAAGTCTCGGGTTCGACTCTTCGGCTTGTATTTTGCATCCCCCGATTTCCGAGCTGACTCTGTCAAATCTGGAAGAAAAAAAGTGTTGTGCTATTAAAACATCAGATGTACAGTTTGAGAAACAAGGATGTATATTAGCAAAATATAATAAGACTTGATGCAAAATTGTAAATTAATATCACATCAAATGATAATAGTCATAATCTCGATGTAAAATGCTAGAAAACATTATTCAATTTGTCAAACCGGCAAAGATAGCTCCGCAACCCTAAGACGATTTAGTCGCCTCTTGTTTTTTTTTTTTTTTTAATGAAGGCTGGGTTCCTTATTGCCAGTTGTGCCATGGTAGTGTGTGTGCCTTATTCCACCGGTCAAGGCATCTTGTCCGGTGCAGAGAGTGCCTTATCTGGAGGTAGCAAAGCCGACGCGCATGGGGTTGCCGAAGTGGAAGATGGAGTGATATGCCATCAGAAATGTGTCTCCCAGTATCCTGATGCACGCCAACCACACCAGCAACCAATTCACCCCGGCACAAAAGACAGGCAGGAAGAGAGGGTGGGGGGAAAGTGAGTGGGCATGGGAGAAGACACTGCTGTTGCTTTCCATAACCCACAAAAAGCGACGGAATGAGTTGAGCAGCAATGTGCTATGAGTGCTGCCATCTGCACACATGCGGTCACCACCACAGCCCAGCAACCCCTGCCCTTCCCCCTGCCCTATGCTGCCCCCCACCATGCGTGGCCGTGCGGCGAGACGGCGAAGTCCATGCCCACGAACGCCGCAAAGCACGCCGTGCCGCCGCTGCTCTGCGCCCCTCCTCCTGTGCGCGTGCCCCTGGGCTGCGCCACCTGCAGCACGTACTGGCGGCCCGACAGGGTGAAGGTGCGGCCCTCGATGGTGAACGACAGCACTGGCAGCAACCCGATCTGACTGCATGGCACCGCACATGGCTGGGGGGGCGGAGGGCAGGCGGGAGGAGGTAGGTGATGGGATGACGGACGAGAGCGACCACATGGCAGAGTGAGGAGAGTGAGAAACGGAGTGGGGCTTACAGGAGAGGAGCACATGGAGACGCCCATTTGAGAGTAGATTTGCTGGATGGCGGCCTGCCAGTGGGAGGCAAGGAGGCAACGTTGGGGCAGGAGAAGCAGTTCAAAGCCTGTGGTGCACAAACAATCATGGGCGAGGTGCGAAGGTGCGCACTGTGGGTGCAGGCTGAGTGGTGCATTCAGTAGGGGGTGTGCGTGTAACGCGTTACCGTGGGCCCAATGATGAGTGAAGTGCCCGTGTCAGGCACTGCGTCACAGCCCCCGCTGCACGTGGCTGCGATGCACACAGGGGGAGAGATAGAAGAGGCAGGGGGTGGGCGTGGGGAAGGGTGAGGAAGAGACAAGGGGAAGTGACAGGAATGGACGAAGAGCTGGCGTGGACATCACATTCAGGGGGGTCAAACGTGATGAGCTTGAGCTTGTGTTGGACGAGAGTCAGCGGGGGAAAGGCATGGACGTAGGATGAAAGGGTGCGAGGCGGTGGCCATGGAAGTGGCTTACAAATGGTCATGGGGCCCATCTTGACCTTGCCCATCCGAATCTGCTCATGCGCGATGGGATGGGGGCACGCATGGGGTGCGCGAGGATGAGACGGCTTCAGCTGCCACCCTCGTGCTCTTGCCGCTATGCCACCCAGGAAATACAAGCACACGTGCTAACACGATGAGAGAGAGCAGCGGCACGAGTTGGCGCTCACGTTCCAGTATCTGCCGCTGCCCACGACGGGTGTGAAGGTGTGCGCGCCCGAGTAGCGCGCAGGGTTGACCCCCCCGAAGACGACCTCGCCGCCCGCCTTGCTGCCGCCATTCTGGTTCATCCAGAAGGAGAAGAGCGGCTTGCGCAGCAGCCCCTGCGCCTGCATGCTCTTCCTGGGGGGCACGGGTGGGGGGGAAGAGGCAGGCACGTGACCGGCGGATGGAGGAGAGGCGGCCAAGGGGGAGTGGACTTAAGAGCAGCAGTACACGCATGCCCAACAACTGTTCAGTTAGATTACATTCTGCACGCGCTGATGTGGGTATGTGCGTGCGGGCGGGCGAGTGTGAGTGTCTGAGTGTGTGTTTCTGTGTGTGTGTGTATGTGTCTGTGTATGTGTGTCTATGTGTGTGTCTATGTGTGTGTCTGTGTGTGTGTGTGTGTCCGTGACTGTGTGTGTAAGAGAGGGAGAGGGCGCGTGGCGGCTCACCAGAGCGGGGTGCTCTGGTGTTTGGCGGCCTTGACGGGCCCCAGCCCCACGATGCCGTCGAACCGCGACCCCAGGTTCGCCGACCCCGGCAGCCACGTGGCCTCCGTGATGGCCTGCGCGCACGTACACAGGTGGGGGGCGCAGGGGGGGTTGCCGCGTGCACGGAATGGTCACGGGGAGAACAAAGACGACGAGAGCCACGAATGGTTGAGGCTGCGTTGTATGGAACGCGGGAAAAAGTGGAGTGGGGGGGAGGGAGGGCAGTGCCAGGGAGAGGGAGGGGGGGCGAGGGGGGGGGGGTGGGTTGGGGGGTTGGAAGGAGCAGTGATGTGGGAGCGCGAGGAGAGGTTGAGGAGTGAGAAACGTGTGCATGGAAAAGCAAGTGGCTGTTTGGGGAGAAGCAACGAGACGGGAGATGGCCAATTGGTGCAGACGAGTTGCCCCTGTGACCAACGAGGTGAGGAGGTCGGGGGTGCGGTTCAGAGGTCGAAGTGGGTGGACATGAATTCACGGCATGAAGGTGGTGAGTGCAGTATGACGGGTGGGTCCAGTGTGACGTGTGCATGGAAAAGCAAGTGGCGGCTGGGGGGGAAGCAACGGGACGACAAATGGTCAATTTGTGCAGGCGAGTTGCCCCTGACACGAACGAGGTGAGGAGGTGGGGAGTGCGTTTGAGAGGTTGCAGTGGGTGGAAATGAGAGCACGGCATCAAGGCTGCGGTGTGGCGGGGGGGGAGGGGGGGTTGAACCTTGTGGCATCCCCGTGGCCCGCCTCATCCCTCACTGCATCCGCTCCTCCCATGCGCAACCCTTGGCTAACTCCCTGTCTCGCTACGCACATATCCCCCCTCCCCTTCCCTGCGGCGGCGCGCACCTGGTTGGTGACCTTGGTGCGGCCGATGGTGACGGTGTCTATGCCCTGCGCGCCCTTCACCTTGCCCGACAAGTACGTGATGTACACCGTGCGCCCTGCCACGCACGCACGGGGCAGCAGCAGCAGGGGGCAGCAGGGGAAGGAAGAAAGCACGCGAGGGAATAGGGTTTGGTGGTGAAGGGGAAGTGCATGGAGCGAACCAAGTACGCTGTGCTACGTGCTGCCCGGGGGTGGAGGCTGGTGTGGGTACGGCGTTGCATGCGAGGCAGCAGCTTGGGCTCACCAGTGGGCTTGAACGTCCTGGAACTGGAGCTGTTGAACCGGCTGTGCGTGTAGCACGCTATCTGATGCCACACGGCACAGGGCAGACGGCACAGGGCAGACGGCACAGGGCAGACGGCACAGGGCAGACGGCACAGGGCAGACGGCACAGGGCAGAAGGCACAGGGCAGGCGGCACAGGCCAGAACGCAGAGGGGCGGGCATGGCACGCGGAGGTGGGTGTGAGGCACGCGGTCATGGGCATGGCAGGGGAGGGTGCCAACCGACAGAACGGCGGGTAGCAAGTGGAGAGGGGGAGCCGGGGGAGGGAGTTGGGTCGGCGATGTGGAGGAAAAAAGTAAAACGTGTAAGGATGAATGGACACAAGCACGGATACAAGGCGGCGTGGGCGGGAGGGCGGGCGGGCGTACATTAGCGCGGCAGGCGGTGGAGGGCACCCAGGTGTCGGAGGAGCCGGTGTCGAAGAGCATGGAGAAGCGCTGCGGCGGGGTGCCGATGCTGACGGTGCCGAAGAACTGCATGTTCAGGTAGTTGCTCAGCCGCACCGCCGGGGCCGTCGCCACCGCCAGACTGCCGCGCGCACGGGAGGGACGGGCGAGCGGGAGGACGAGCGGGAGGACGAGCGGGAGGACGAGCGGGAGGATAAATGAAGGCATGGGAGGACAGTTGAGAACGGAAGAGAGACGTGGGGGGTGCATGGGATGGATAGGATGTGGCATATGACGGCCATGATGACGAGGAATCGAGGGGACAGTGTGGCGCGAGAGGCCGCGCGGGGAAGAGCTGTGCGACGACTCACATGTCCGCCATGTACTCCGAGCTGGTCGCGTTCGCCATCCCGCTAATATCGAATTGCACGGCGCGCTGTCGTGCCCACGCGCCCATACCCCGTACATCCGCCTCGGTCACTTGGCGCTTCCGCAAGGCTATGCTCTGCACCACCTCGGACGATGGCAGGGATCGCGCCGCAGTTGCAGGAGACACCATGCATGTGCTAATAACCATGGTGACAATAACGAGGGCTGGAACTCGGAGGGACGTGGTTCCGGCGGGAATTGGCAAGGGCGATCCCGCAGTGGATGAATAGGGCGGGGAATTCGTGCGACCAAACTCTCGTCTGGGCGTCCACCAGTTCGCGTTGACGGCTCTCGCTCGCTGCGCGCGGGAACTGGGCGGCGTAATTCTAGACCTGCCCGGCGCTGCACCCTTCTCTCCCCGGCTTCTCCTCATCGTCTCGTCAAGCGGTGACATCTCGCTGCGCTGGAAAGGGCGTGGAGTGATGGCTCGGTGCCCGCGAAGAGGAACCTCTTTTGGGCAAGGAGTTCGATTTCCGCGAGGTGGGCGCTGCGGTGCCAGCGACAGTCAAGCCGAAGGCTCTAGCAGCTCGCACGACCTGCGTGTGCCACGCGGAGATAAGCGAGCGGGATGCAGCGAATGCCCGCTGAGGTTGGAAGAGCGTCTTCGACTAGTCGTGCTGCTGGGGGGCGTTGCGAGGAGCTAAGTAGGGCGTGTAACTGGTTAACTACGAAATTAAGGAGCACTGCGCAGTGGCGGAGGCAGTGACATGAGGGCCGGTTGAGTCCGCAACGGGTGTGTGTTGGCCCAAGCACAGAAACAAGGCGGTGGTCGGCTGGTCGGCCAGGTTAGGCAAGCGAGTGACGTGAGACTAGCGGGATGAAAGCGCGGTTTCCAGCCCTGGGTCATGAGGGTGGAACGGCGGAAATTGATCGTGAAGGGCGTCTTCTAGGAATCGTGTCACCCTCTGTGGCGGGTATTAATTAATACAAGGGGTAATGGACAGGCAAGGCATCCTGGGAGTCGAATTGCAGCAGAAGCGTACACGGATTGTTTCATGTTGAAACACTCCCTGGTTGTGCCCACGATTTCATTTGGGGGTTGTGGGGATGGTCGTGCTTGCGCGAAACTAGGCATACTTCTCTCGAAATTCGCAATAAATCCGCGCGGCGGGCGTAGCGCCTATGTGTCCGCACCGCATTACTTTTGGGTCGCCGCAGCCACGTTTTGGGGTGGAGGAAATCGCGCGCTTCAACAAAAATCAATAATGGTTTAGAGCAGTCGACCCTTTTTGCGCACGATGTAGGGCGTGCCACCTTACCCAAAACGGTCGATCCTCCCGACTGTACCCGTTTTCGTGTTGGGTTCAGATGCCACTAAGTTTATTCTGGGCAACTGGTCTGGGCAGCATGCGTAGGGTCCAATAAGGAGTCATACGACAAACAATGATGGCACAATAAGGGCTGCGGCATTCGAAAAAGGCACGCGCAATAAGTTTGGACACAACGTCCGGATTTCGATAAAATAGCGGGTGAGGTTTTCGCCGAACTCGGGTGATGGCGTCCTTTTCCAAAACAGGGTTTGAACCCGGATTCTGAAGGGTGAATTTTGGCAGAACTAGCTGTGAAACCGGGATTTGACGGATGAATTTTGACAGAACAGAGTGCTGAACACGGATTCTGACGGGTAGCTTCGGCCAGATACCCGGATCTGACGGGTGCCCCAAAAACCAAACGTAAGCCCCGACACTTGCGCTTCGATTTTTGTCAGATTTTAAATGCATGTTCGCGCAACAACTGAATTGGGATCCGGCAAATGTTTTCACAGAGACCCAAAATTACATTTCCAATATTCGGCACATCAAAACGAAAACGGATACAGTCGCGTGGGGTCGACCGTTTTGGGTAACGGGGGCATGCCATAAATCGCGCCCAAAAATGGTCGACCATTTTCAAACCTTCTTGATTTATATCAAAGCGCGCGATCTCCTCGTTGGGGTGAGACCTTCACTTCCGCATGACGTTTGAAAAAACGCAACGCGGGAATTGACGGCGTGTCCCACGAGTAAGATTGATTGCGGTTGGGTGCGATGCTCATTGAGAAGAAAAAATGTAACATAACACGATCTTAAACGGTTGGGTAGAGTTCTGGGTACAGTCGGAGTGGGACAACGAAAACAAAACCAACCTCATCATGAAAACTTTTCACTACATGTCCGCTGAAAACTTTTCTAACCGAACCGCAAGCTCGTTGGCTTGCGGCTCGTTATACACTACACGGAAGTCCACAGGCGAGGGAAAGCTCCTACCGCCGTTTTCAACAATCCCGTTTCGGTTTCGGCTCCTCCGGATGAATTACGATCGTCTCGACAAATTTCGGCTCTCCGATTTATTGTCGCTACGGGACAATGAAATCATGGGGACTTTGGTGAGTTGCAGCACGAAGGGATTTTCTGAGCTGACATTTCCCCTACAGCCCGTTTCGTTGTCTGGGAAATTCGACCAAGTTCAACGGCTACGAACAACTACGATCGATTCGACGTATTTCAACCGTTGGATGGCATTCCTTGAAGAAGCTCGAAATCCTCAACAGTAGTGGCTTCACTACGAGGAGATCAAGCTGGCGTTTCCTTTCTTTGTTTATTTCTGTGCTTGTCTTGAAGGGGGGAGAGTTTAAAGCACGAGGTTATAATAGTGACCCCCCTTTCTAGTTGGGCCCAACTAGAAACGACCCAACAGTGAATATGTTTTTGGAGGGGCAGGCAGCAGCCTGCGTTTTTTACCAAGCCGTAGGCCACGAAATGGAATTGCACTTGCGACATTTCGCACTGGCGATAGATTTTACGACCACAGATTCGCGCAGTTAGCATTTCGACCAATTGGGGCCCAGCCTCGTTTTTGCCGGAGTAGTGAACCTCGGTCCAACTTGAAATTCGAGTTGGGCCCATTTGGTGCAGCTTACATGCAGTGGGGCTTGGGCGACAGGTGGTGCGCTGCTTGCGATTTTTCCTGAGCCACGTTTCCCATCGTACGTCATGCGTTTCCCGTCAACCAATCAGGTAACTGCCTCTTCTCGCTCAATTTCCCCTGCTCGCATTTCTCGACAGTGTACCCTCTGCCCCGTCGCAGTTTGTCCCTTAGTCGCAAAAACGGACATCTGGGCCCTTTCAAGTTGGACCCGCCTTCATTATTTTGACTTCTCGCTTTAAGGAATTAGTTAATCCTTACTGAGGCGCACTGCTAGCTCGTAAACCGAACGTACACGGCACCGGACTAGGCCCTAGTTACGTCACCGTACGCGCTGCACCAAACCTTTTCAGCGTCATTCCAAAGCACTCCGCGTCCTCGAATGCCTTCACGCGGTTAAGATTCCAAACCTTTGCATCACGCGGTTAAGATTCGCTCTTGTGTTCCTATATCTTGCCTCGTCATTCATTATACCGACACTCTGATAATTATGTAATTTCGAATCTCCATATTCGCTTCCGCGCTACAATGGGTTTTCTCTCAGAGTAGCTAAGTGAAATAAGCAAGGGCATACATGTGCTATATGAGTTGTGGGTTGTACTCCCTAAGAGCACGAACTTGTTTAGCCTATATAGTAATTAGACATACCTTACAAATATATAAATTGACACACCCCCTAGGCTGGACAAGGGGCAGTGCATAGCAGAAGACATGCAGCTCAAGGTGGCACTACTAGTCCAACCTCTGAGGCAAGGGTCTGAAGACTAGTCTGCAAGAGTACAAACTAAACAAGGGTAACCCAGGGCAGCACTAATAGTCCAGCCACTGGAACAAGAGCCACAAGGCCAATCAAGAAAAAAAATGAGTAGTACACAATCAGGGTGCTAGCAAGTGAGGAGCTACTGGAAATGAACCAAACTGTACACAGTGTCGATGATGATCTTTAGGCGCAAGCGCCTTAGTAAAGATATCAGTTGTGTTGACACCGGAGGCCAACTGTACCGTAATCCCCCGGATATAGGCGTATCCCTTTATTTGGCCCATTGCGCTTATGAAGTGCAAGTGCGCTTATACCCGTTATTTCATTATAAGCGCACCCATATTTTTGAAAAAGTATTTCCTATAGGCGCATCACATTTTTGTCAAAACGTTTGTTAAACGGGGGATTTCCATATCGGATTTTATGCCGTGTCCCTCCCGAGCGCCTCCCGAGCCAGAAGCGCGAATCTCGCTCAGTCCGGTTGGCTCTGATTGGCTCGCAATACCAGTCATTCCCGAGTGGATCTGGTGGCGGAAGCTTTGTCAGCCAACTTCTTACGCTTTGTCAGAATGATGCCCTTTGGAAACACACGCGCTAGAATGCAAATGTCAAGAAATACATTTTCACGTGCTCAAATCTTTTTTCCATAAATTTCCTTTCATAAGCCTTGGGCTTATAATTTTTATTCGATTACAAGCGCATGCAACTTTTGTTACGTATTTCCTATAAGCACCTATGCGCCTATATCCGGGGGATTACGGTACTACTCGGGCTTGGCGGCGCTACTGTAGCTTGCGTAGAAGGAAGTACTGCAGCTGGATGTGCTGCGCTCTGCCATCTAGTCGAGGCTCCTGTTACAAGAGGATCATTGCCTTGTTGTCAGCGTACAGGACCAGGGCAGAGCTAGGCCGCTCACCTAAATTTGTGAGTAGAAACTTCAGCTGGCAGAGCTCCTGTACCGCCATGGCACCAGCGTAGATCTCAGCATCACAGCTAGACTGGGCAATAGACGACGAGCAGGTGGACCTCCACGAGATAGCGCCTCTGCCAAGGCTAAAGCAGTAGCCCTGGGAGGACCTGAGCGTCTCAACGTCATCCGCTCATGAAGTGTCTGCGTGCCCAGTGAGAACCACTGGCTTGCGTTCTCCCAGCACTAGCCCCATGCCCGATGTACTTGCTAGATAATGCAAAACCCTCTTAGCGGCCGACTAGTGCTAGGGTCGGTGTCTGCCTGTCGCTTTAAAGCGAGCCAGGATACTAATAGGGTATGCGAGATCTGGACGAGTGCAAGTCGGTACATGAGGCAGCCCACCAGCCCAGCGTACAGACCACTGGGCTCAACTGACTCCTCAGGGACTGGAGCCGAGAGCTTGTGATCTACTGGCAGAGGAGTAGGCTGTGCGGAGGAGAACTGAAGACTGAACCTCTGAAGGACCTGGCGCACCAATTGTGACTGTGTGAGAGTGATGGTACGCGCTGCTCTGTTCTTGGAGATCTGCAAGCCAAGGTAGCGGCGCACCTCTCCTAGGTCAGTGCAGGTGTGTCTCTTCAGCAGCTCGGCCTTCACGGAGGCAAGTGCGTCTCTGTCTGCAGTAGCAAAGACCAGGTCATCTAGGTAGACTAGGATGTAGAACGGAGTCTGGCCTTCGCGAACGAAGAGCGTAGGGTCAGCAGGGGACGGGAAGAACTGCAGGTCTGCTAACGTAGCATGCAGCGTGTCGTGCCACTCATGGGGCGCCTCCCGCAAACCGTAAACCGGGAGCCAGAGGATCCACTCAATCCTATAAGGGAAAGTGCGAGAGAAGCCTAGCGGATGGCGTAGGTAGACTTGCTCATGCAGACTGCCCTGGAGAAACGTTGTGGAGAAGTCGAGGGAGTGCAGCTCGAAATCGCGCTATGTTGCTACGTGAAGCAACGCCCGAAGACTGGTCATCTTCGGGGTCGGGGCGAAGGTCTGAAAGAAGTCAATACCCTCGCGCTGACTGAAGCCTCTAGCAACTTAGCTCGCCTTGAACACCGGCGGCTGGGCGCTTCACCTGGAAGAGCCACCAGTGTTCTAGGCGCCATCGCATAGTAGCAAAGTGAACTAAGCAAGGGTATACAAAGTATTATATGAGTTGTGGGTTA